CAAGTTACAGACCTAGTCTCGTTACTTTTGTGTCACACCTCGTATTACTAAAGGGCTATTTGAAATCAATATTCTATGTCATACTTTACTATATACAGCTTATCCTTGATAAAATATATCTCCTAAGAGGTCCATTAACACTTTAACGACCGCACGTCTACGTAGTCAAACGTCGCCAGGGGCCGGCAGTATTTTTGAAGAATTAATTTAAAAGAACTTTATTAAATTCACGAAAAAGTTAACATAAAACAAAAAACGACAACAATTTAACAACAAATTTAATGTTTCGTAGAGCGCCGATATTTGCTACATAATTTACATGGTACACCACTGTAGTGTAAAATGTAAAATTAAAAATAGGCAATAATTATCTAAAATCAAAGACGTGGCGATGAAATACGAAGCCAATAGCAATATCCACACTTGTTTACTTTCATAAATTATCACACAGAAAGAAATAAAAAAAAGTCGCATGAAGCCAAATCAGGCGAATAAGGAGGATTCCCTATCACAATAATAATTTTGCTGGTCAGAAACTGCTTGACAGATAGTGCCGTGTGAGCGGGTGCTTTGTCCCGGAGCAACAGCCATCCATCGCTTCACAACTGTGGCCTTTTTTTCCTAATTTTTTCACGAAGTCTTTTTAGTATTTCAATGTAATAGTGTTAGTTAACAGTCTGACCACTGGGAAACCACTCAATCATTACAATTCCATTAATGTCGAATTTTGATTTTGACATGCGTTCTTTTTTGGATTTTGGGGATCCTGAAGACTTCCATTGCATCGACTGGCGCTTACTTTGTGAGTCATAGGTAAAAATACATGTCTCATCACATGTTACAAAAGATTTCAACAAATTTTACAAGAAACTTGATGTTTATTCGCTGTTCGGTTTTTACGTTAGACATTTTTCCGGCAGAATGCAGTTGCACGTGTTCACTAAATAACGCAATATTTCCAAATGGTATGACTGATTCAATCGAAATTGGCAACATGGATAGAGGAGGTATGTGGGATGATGCCACAAAAACAATTGCTGCTAATTCCATTGTTTTTTCAAGTTACAGACCTAGTCTCGTTACTTTTGTGTCACACCTCGTATTACTAAAGGGCTATTTGAAATCAATATTCTATGTCATACTTTACTATATACAGCTTATCCTTGATAAAATATATCTCCTAAGAGGTCCATTAACACTTTAACGACCGCACGTCTACGCAGTCAAACGTCGCCAGGGGCCGGCAGTATTTTTGAAGAATTAATTTAAAAGAACTTTATTAAATTCACGAAAAAGTTAACATAAAACAAAAAACGACAACAATTTAACAACAAATTTAATGTTTCGTAGAGCGCCGATATTTGCTACATAATTTACATGGTACACCACTGTAGTGTAAAATGTAAAATTAAAAATAGGCAATAATTATCTAAAATCAAAGACGTGGCGATGAAATACGAAGCCAATAGCAATATCCACACTTGTTTACTTTCATAAATTATCACACAGAAAGTGTGGCACTGGACAACAACCTTCGGCGGTAGCATCACACACATGTGTGAGCGGTCGTGAACGGTTGTTCCGGCTATCACACACGTGTTGTGTGACTGGTCGTTAAAGTGTTAATGTCATCTGGAGTCCCTTGTGCATATGCTAGCTTGTAGTAAATTAAGTGATTAATTGACTAATCAGATTCATGTCACTGATAGTATTCTGATGGTATTTAGTGCAGATTAACATGTGTCATGTAGAATAAAATGTCCCCAGTATTCCCATACGTTATAGAAGAATAGAATGGGATGAAATCTGATATTTCAGCTTGTTCCTTAACTTTTCAATGATCTTTTCCCATTATTTTATGTCAGTAAATTCAAGTAAAAATGTGTGAGCACCTAATTCACTTTAATATTTACTTTCTCCCAATGTCTAATCACAACTCATTTAATACTAATAATATACTAATAATAGCACACTTTTAATCCACTGTTTGGTACACTGCATATAACCTCTGCCTATTTTATATCATCCTTCTTTTTATAATTCACATGGTTTTTAAAGGTTCTCTCAACTTGCTTAAATTTGTAGTTTTATTATCTCCATTATTTTTAGATATAACCTTAGCAATATGTTTAGGTTATCTGTATACTCCTAATAGATCTTTTAAATAATTTGTCTTATTGAGGTTGACGTTTCCTGTTGCACTAATCTTTTCTCTTATTCATTTAATCCTTTAACACTATGTTACAGTCACTATCAAAAAATCAAAGTGAGGTTAGTATCGTATGACACTTCATTTAAATGAGTAATTTAGTAATTTACATTGGATGTATTACCGTTTTTCTAGATTAGTTGATTAATTAACGCTTGCATCGGTTACAGACAGCGTCCAATACAGTGTACTATAAACTAGCGTAGAACTATATCATATCAAACGAGAGCTGATAACTTTTTGAGAATTATTCTTTCTTTTCGTTGTGTCAAATGCGAACTTTATTCCATGTAATAAAATTCCATTCACCGAGTGAAGTAGTCCACGCCGATAACTGAGCGCGGTGACAGATAAGTAAGAATTCTCGCAAACAAGCAGATAAGCTAGAAGGTAGGTAGGGTAGGTATGCATGTAGGCAAGTGAATATCGCCCATTTACCCGCGACCCATCCGACCGACCTCCCAGACTAAGTTACCGATATCACACTAGGATATAGCAGATCCACTTATCCTCGACCTACATTACCGACCGTAGGACTCCTCTTATTCAAAGCCGCACAAATAGTAGTATCACGACCTACCTTATCGGTCCTAGGGCTT